TCAGAAATACTTTCCAAACTGATGACATATTCATGCCAAAATGGTGAAACAATATTTCGCCAGAAAATTTGAGAAGCTGAACAGGAAGTGGAACTAAAATCAGAAGATTATCTGGAGTATATCTGAAACTAGTATAATTTCTAGGGTTTGGGTGTATGTTTTTTGAAATTGAAAGAAGGAATGCTTTCAATCACTTGATTTATGTAAGTTACACAATATTATGTCTGTACTTCATGTATATACAAAACCATTGAATAAAAACTAGGTTGTAATTCAGTTTTGATTTAAACAGATCTTGTTTTCTTCTGTAGTAGCCAAAGTACTACCTCCAGCATGACGTTTTAGTCTTGGCTGCTCCTCCCTCACCTTTCCTACTACAAAGCAAACCAAATGCCATCCTGACAGTGTTAATGAGAACAGCAGAAGCTGTTACTGACTGAAATTACTATACTGGAAAAGAAGCTATACCACATATATACCACAAATGAATTGCAGAATTTTCTTGATTTCCTTTAAAAGCAAACAAACAAACCAACCAAACCAACCAAAAGTTAGAAAGAAGAAAGAAGTGATTTAAGAGATGTATTACACTATATTTCAGAGTATCCCCGCTACACCAATTTGATGGAAGCCCAAAGCTATGTATGTGCTGAATACTGGAATATACTCAAAATATTACTTTCCTCCCTGTTGTAGTTGCAAGAGCTTAAAGAAGATTTAAATGATGCTCCTTTCACAAAAATGACTCCATATTAGAATAAAAATGTCTCATGGGAACTGAGAATTGCAACTAGAAATCAAAAACAGCCCTGTCATGAGAAGTGCCAGTTGGAAAATGGAAGAAAATGGAACTAAAAAGCATGCAGAAAAGAGCTGATCAAAGATGAAGGCACAGAAATGATTGCTTTGATTTAAATGTTAGTAATTTTTGAAGGAAAAATATGAGAAAATAAAAGACGTCTATGATGTATATACTCAGAAGTTGGTGAGATATTAATACATAGGGTCAACATTTCAATTCACCAAAACACTACACCAAAACCACTTTAAGCCAAATTACACTGTCTAAGGAAAATATAGTAGGAAATTTTTTTTTCAATCCAAAAGTGTAGTTAGATTTCAACTGGGGCATTCAAAGGAGGCCAGGTGACAAATGACGGAGATCGACAGCAAAGAGGAAAATAGTAACTAAATTAGGAAGAGAAGAAAAGCAGGGAAAGTAGAACAGAAGAAAGGAGAGAAATAAACTACTTACCTCTTGCTGCAGCCCCGGAAAGCTTTTATGTTCTACATCTCTTTCACACTTACTGTGACCTCCCCAAGGATCTCTGTGTTTCACTACTGTAGAGATCATGAAAACACATTTGCATCACAGAGTATCCGTTTCTCAACCTTCACTTTTCTTAACTTGCTTCACACCTCCATCACTGAGTACAGTCTGCTAAAATTACTTAGAGTGCTTTTCTGAGCCACCAATCTGTCTTCAACAAACCCATCACCACAGCCTCCCACCCAGCAGTCTCCTGCTCCTCACACTTCACCTTCCATTTCCCTCCAGGCTGCAGCTGATCCTGTGGACAGTATTCATAAGTGGTAAAAAAGTATTCAGGTGTCTAAATTGGAGAAACTGCTTCTTTCATGGCAGTAGAAAGCCTAATTACAAAACAGTCCCTAGCCCATAGTTAGGCACCAATTAATTCCTCTTGGGCCTCAAAAACCCTTTGTCTTCCACATTGAAGGCATAAGAGCTCCCACTGCTTCTTTGCACTTTACAAATCACAGTATTCCAGCAAAATAAGTTTGAAACTGCTCAGTATTTAATAAGAAAAATGTTTATATTATTTAAAAGAGTCAAAAGTTTTCATTTTCAAAATATAACAAAAATATTTTCCTCTGACCTCTGAGAAAGAAAAGAAGCAAAAAGCACAAAACATATTTTCATTGCATTTCTATGTAATGTCACTGAAATATCTTCCATTTCCAGCTGAAAGACAAAAAATTTATCAAAATTGAAAACAGTCTTTGGCATTTTCTTTAAAATATTTTTATATAAAATCATCTGAGTTTTCCTACAAACCCAACAGAGTGAAGAGGCTGGGCCTCTAACCAAGGCCCTGGCCTGAGGATCTGAAATATGTCTCCATTTGTTAAAAGTACAAAAATCCAGAGCAGTTGGTATGGTGAAGATGTGCAATCAATCTGATGGGAACTGCTTAGTAGACTGCAGGATGGGAAATTAAATATATTAAATGTAAGTGAAGAGTACATGTGCTACTACCTTAAAAGAAGCACAGGGACTGGCATCCTTTGTGGAAGTCCAGCCAGAGCAACTGTTTTGAACACCAGGGAAAAATAAGAAGGTAGAGACATCATTTGGTCCTAAAAGAGATGAATCAAAGGAAAACTAAATAAACTTTCTTGGTGGGGGGTTTTTGTCTGGTTTTTGTTGGTTTTGAGTTGGTTTTTTTTTACAGCCAGAGTAGTGAGGCACTGGAACAGGTTTCCCAGAGAAGTTGTAGATTTCCCAAACCTTTAAATGTTTAAGCCAAGGCTGAACAAAACTTCAAGCAACCTAGTCTAGGGGAAGGTGTCTGTGTCCACAGCAGGGGGAGGTTTGAACTAGATGCTCTTGAAGGTCCTTTCCAACTCAAACCATTCTACAGTTGTGTTATCAAATTAATGTTTCCTCCCAAGGTATGGAAGACAATGGTCAATAAAGGCCAGTGGATGTTTACCCTGTACCCATTCCAGCTCAAATAGAAGTGTAACGGTTCTTTAAAGAAAAAACAGTCAGTGGAATGGCAAATCATGGTATTCAAATAATTATGACTGGCCCTCAAACTGTAATAGGAATAGCAGCTCAGATTATCTGATTATCTGATGTCCAAAGGCATTTGCTCTTAGAGAAGCTCAGATAGGGAAATAATAGTAAGGAAACATCAGTGTTCAGCCAACTGTCAAACAGTGTTATCTACACAAGTAAGAGAAGATTAAAGCTGGAAAGTCTCCAGGTACCTGTCCAAGCACCATGAAAAGACTTTGTGGCAAACGAGTACATCCACTGTGACCTCTCTTGGTCTCCTTAACTCAGTCCTGAGAAACACCCTGACTAGAGCAGTGGCTGGTGTGTGCATGATACTGACTCTTCCTTCAGCTTCAGCAAATGCAGCTGCTGGAAGACATCTTGCATTCCTGCCATCACATCTTTTTACCAGTGCCTCTTTTATTCCCCAACATCTTCTTCATTCTGGTCTTCTTGCTATGCTTTCAGCTTCTGTCTTAGTTGGCTAGATCTTTATGGCAGTACTGATGCAAGTCTAAAACAGGCAGAGTAAAACAATGCTTTTGAACAGCTCGATGCTTGTAAAAGCCAAATCTTGAAGTCACCGTGTCTGCTCTAACAACAATGCTGTAAATGAAAGTCAAAGCAGAAACAGAAGATATATTTTCTAGCTTGGCTTTTTTCCTCCCTTTTCCTCTTTGTGTGTCCATCTCCTAATTCATCATTCAGTAGGCAGATTCAGGCTTTTATCACAAAAGCAATAACATCAACTCCAGCTACTTCTTCATCCAAAAGGTTACTACCATCTTTAATACCACCTAAAAGACTGCCAAACACAACAGTTTATGCTTATGATAAAATAAAAAACAAAATTAACAGCCACTACTGCAGCTATTGAGATGAGAAGTTAGAAATGTGGTTAAAATCTCCCTCAATTTCTTTCTTGGGTTTTTCTGTCTTCTTTGAGCTAATAAACGTTTAAACAAACTACTGGGGTTTCACTGGTTTTTTGTGTTGTTTTTTTTCTTCGTTTTTTTTTTTCACTTGTGGGTGCTGGTTGACAGATGTTTGAGTGTCTCTGAATGGCCAGACTTTAATTACTTAGTATGTGCAGTGGGTCATATAAATAAATACCTTTGACCCTCCTGACTCATTTGTTCCAGTAAAACAGGCTTAAAGTTTGTAATTAATACAGGATGCCACTATCCATCCCTCAGAGAGGACTCTATAAATACTGTGCCATTGTTTCTGCGTTATTTCCTTCATCCTACTGCTCTTCCTCTCACAACTTAGCCGCCAATCTCTGGCTTACCCCACTCTTCTTACTACCTTAGGAGCCTCAACCATGTCTGCTCTCCCTAGGCAAGAAGCTCCAATCCTGATATTCGTTACTGAAGTGAAAGGCAGTCTTTTATGCTAAAACTCAGTCTTCACTTTTTATTATATAAACCTGAGACAGCACAAAATGAGGCCTGAGGGCATTTTATAGCTCAGGTTGTTCACATTTTTTGCCTTCAACATTCTGGTTTACAGCTAAGGCATAATTGTTGCACTGCAGCTCTACCCCTCCCTGTTGGCCTCAGCAACTACTGCAGCATCTCCAATCCCTTTCACAGCACCCCTCTAGGTTGTCTTTTGCATAGACACTTGACTTGGAAAGACTCTCCATACATGATGGACTCCTAGGAATCCATTCTCTCAATTTACTATTCCCTAAACTAATCACAGATTGCAGCCAAATATAGAGCCAGAACATTTCATCCAGTACTGAAATAGCAGAAAGTAAATAGGTGACACAGAACGAAACATCTTCCCATCACAAAGAAGACTGGTGTAAAAGTGGTGTAATAATTTACTTAACAAGACTGAGAAATCTCTGTTGTTGGACACATCAGGAAAGAGAGGGCAGGGGCTTCTGGCCAGTTATCTGGTGAGGAGCAAGTTATCTGCAGTGGATTACATTCTGGGAGAAGAGATGTTCTACTTGATATGTCAAGACCCTTCCAGAAGTAGTTTCCTACCTTGCAAAAGAAGTATCAGAATCTGTGTTCTGTTCAAGCAGCCACTTAAAAGCTGTGGTCAAATTGCACTAGAGCTAAGAGCTTGGTAGATGTTTAACAAAAGAAGTATGTTGCCACCACCTATGGCCCAGTTGCAGGTTGCCTTTTCAACACTAGCCTTTTCCCAGATCCCTTGCCCTGCTTTTCAGTGCTTTTCAGTATGTCTGCAAACATGACAGGACAAATAGCAGGAATATTTGCCATACTACTTGGAATGGATGATACTCCTTTCAAGTTAGTGAGGCAATTCAGAGTAGTGAAGGTAAGCACATAATTTCTGTAAAATATTAGATGGAGGATGATGGATGAGGGGTTGTGGAGACTCACATTTAAATAGATGTAATAAGGAATTACAAATCAACCACATTGAAGGTAAACTTTCAATGAGGGAAATGGCATTGAAGATTCTGAAGTTGCACAATTTAAAAATAATGTCCTTCAGTAAAAAGTTATTCTCATTGTCATGTAAAATAAATTTGGTAGCATCCAGATTACTCAGGTAAATTCCAAATGCAATTTGTGAAAATAAAAGGAAGGGTGCTAAACAGGAGCACCAAATGGGGAGTCTCCTCTTACTGATGAGATCACCAGGGAAACAAAAAGAAATTATCAGTATCTCACTGGAACAAAGGTCAACAAAAGATGAGGTGATAGAAATTCTTGATTCAAGATGTTTAAACTCCCCTGACATATCCAATAAAAGAAGAATGCAATGCAGATGACTTGAATTCGTTGTAACTCATGAAGTTCCTCAGTTGGTCCATTTCTGCCAGCAGGTGGATTCAAAACTTTGAGAACTATCAAAGTACAGAACAGGTTAAAGTCCATCAAGTCTTATAGAAAACAGGAAGTCACTACAAAAAATGCAGCTGTTAATGACAGAGGAACCAGTGATATTTTAAATAAGTAAAAACAGTGATTAATGCAATGGATAAATGAGTTTTCTGTGTTGGTAAACAAACAAGGAATTACCAAGCAAAAAACCAGGGCCATCTTTCAGTATTCAACAAATAGAAAATTACATAATCAGAAAAAAATCAAAGTCTGTACTACTCCTGTAGACAGTATAAAGGGAAAGTAATAGAATTTAACAGCGACTGATAGTATCAATCAACAATATTTTTAAGAAACACATTTTTCTTCAACTATATTTGTCTAATAAAAGGCATATCTCACTCATTTTTAACCACAGTTAGTCTCATTCTTTATAGCCATGGTAATAACAGCCTGAATATCTCCAAAGGGAATAAACATACAGAATACAGCTTTGATACAATTAAACATAAATGACTTTGCCACGGTATGATGACAAGAAATTACCAACAGGAACTTTAATAACAACTCTGAATTCTTTAGATCTTGCATCAACAGCAAAGGATGTTGAGATGTGTTTGTCATATTATGTAATTCTAGGAATAAAGACGGGCTGGAAAAGGTGTCAGCTGGTAATTAATGACAAGCACATGACAAATCTTTAATAAAAACTACTCCTATGGATGACCAGTTTCCATGCAAAAGGAAACAAGATCACAGTCATAAAGCAAATATACAAGACCATAACAAAATTGGTTTTTTATGTAATTCTTTTATGTATGCTATATCATGTTAAAATACGTATGCTATATTATGTTTAAAGCAAACTGGTGACTTCTAGAATGTGTAATAACTTATAGAGTTACTAGGTTTCATTTAAGTAATGTCAGGTATGGAGCAAATTTACTAAACAGATGTTGAAAGTAAGCCTTGGTAATATGAGATGCAGAGCCTGAAATGAGAGTCTTGCACCGCACCACTGGGTGTCTGAGAAAACAAGGCTTACACAATCACCAGCCATTACTCTGTGTCCCTGCCACTCCACACTAATAATACTTGAATGGGCTGGCCAATTCTTTCACTTGAATTGCAAAATAATTCATATTGGACGAGTCTAAGTGCTGAAGAATCCAAAGGTAAATTAATTTTAACAATTTGAGTCACAAAATTATTTGGATTGGATTAAACCTCAAGAGGTCATCTGGTTCCACTGATGAAGTGTCAATGGGTAAATGCATTTTTCTTAAGTTTAAAAAAATGCCATGAACATACTTCAGCATAAGCAGAGCTTATGCATTCTATCAGCTGACTGACCAACTAAGACACATGTACCTGTATTAACATAGCTCTAGGTGAGTCACAGCACATACCTATGCTTACCCAAATGGGATGGCACCCTGGGGAGGGCTGGGTGAGTTAGAGCATTGAATTGAGGATACAGAACATAAATCTGTAAGACAAGAGCTCTGAACATTCTATTGCTCATAGAACTTAATTGTTTGCCTGAGGCAAAAATGTAAGAATTGAAAATAGTAAGACTTATTAAATAGGCTACAAAACAGTAGCATAACATCTGATACAGGTAACCTTCTAATTTCAGTTTAAAAGGTCATATTTCATTTACTTTATAAAGTAATGACACTGGCATTGCTTCTATTTTGAAGGGCCCACAATCAGAAGGTGAATTTTTATGCAGAGTTTGAGACACTGCTTGAAGGGAAAAATATTTATTTCTAAAAATGAAAGCTTCTTATTATTTGCAAAGTTGTTTTTCTTTCTGATCATGTATTCAGCGGCAGTTACATGAAAGTAATACTCAAAGAAACAACCACCCTCTACAAATGCTGAACATTATTCAAATTTCTGATCAAGACTCCTCTTCCTCCTTCACCACTTGCATTTAAATCACAAATTATAGCTCTGTATGATCTCTCTCAGACTTTATTACTCTTCAAAATCTGATCTGAATTTGAGGAGGGATGTTATCCATCTGTTGGGAAGAATGGAGGCTCCTCAGCAGAAGATCTGTACTTGTTTTTAGCAGGACTGCTCTGCTTTCCTCAGTGCAGGCAGTGGGATCACATGGCAATTTATCTGAAGATGGAGCCAGATGAAGATACCATCTGTTTCTTCTGTACTGTGTAACTGGATCAGACTCAAGTATGTAGCAGCTGTGGGTGTAGCTATCTCTATAGACAGCAGCTGATGCTATCCAATACTTCTTCAGAAAAGTTTAATCAGGATGAGAATTCTTTGGTAAGTCAAGTTAAATGTCAGGCCTTCTACTGCTTCAGAGAGAACACCTTAGATCTCCTAGATGTAGGTGTCTCATCTTGACATGCTTTGATATGAACTCTCGGGAGGAAGTCTTGACTGCAACATAACAGCATTATTGTGACCTTTCCCTCCATAACACGAGTTTTACTGCTGTGTGGAGTGTGTTCCCACAGTAATCTGGAGAATTTTGTTGCAAGAGTTTCTCACTCGTGTATTTGCCCAGCAGGCTGTCCTGTGTCTTGAATTGTCTCTAATCTCATTGGATCCCAAAATGCTGGAACACGTATCTGCCAAACTGTTACTGCTACCAGTAGCTATTTCTGCTGAAAAGCTGGTAAGGTTTAAACTTTAACCTGCTGGCATGTGTTTTACAAGACAACAGAATTTCCAAATGCCTAGAAAAATAGCTGTGTTTAGTAAGTATCATAGAAGTCTAGTATTTTTTATGTTCTAAAGTCTGTCAAAACTGGTGTTTACTTCTGTTTTACCTCCTGTCCCAACTCTGCCACTGTTTTAGTATACTCTGTTGCTCTTGTGGCAACCAAACCGAAATTTTCTAAGATGTTGCTCCTCAAAGGCTTTAAGTATGTCTATAGTGCAGTCAGAGCGGTGACTGATCCCTGCACAGACTTATACAAGGCAGTTTTAACAGAAGCATGTGGGATATTTAAAAGAGCAAAGCTTAAATAGGAGGGACATTAAGTACAGGCTGAATATACTCTAGTTTCTGTGTTGAGGCTAGCAAGTGACTTAAAAGGCACTGGACAACCCTGAGAGAGTATACAAATAATAAATATCACTAATTATTCATGGGCCTCCCTGACCTGTATGAAAGCTGGGCAGAATGATACATATCATAATATCTTGGGGGAAAAAAATCACAGTGTTCTTATAAATATAAATCACAGTTTACAATTGAAACTTCTTAGAATTGTAAATAAAAATAAATCAAGCAATAAAGATTATTGGAACTGGAAAAGATAGATTCCCTGTCATTTCCTGAAGGTATAGCCTTGATTGACATAAAATTCCTTGTCTGGTAAGACAGCACAAGCACTGCAAACAAACCCTGATGCTTTCTTGGATCAGTGTAGATTTTTTTATGTTAATAAATTTTAAGTTTTAAATTTTAATTTACCAGATTTGAGCTAAAACCTCTTGAGTATTGGCTAGAAATGTCACAGTTACCTCATAATCATGTAATTGAGTCATTTAGGTCCATTACTCAATATACTCTTGGCCTTTTCAAAAAAAGTTTTTAGAAAGTTTACAACCCAAACAGTGACCCAAGGACAGAATTGGCTGTGCTTATAACAGTCTGTTAGGCCAACATACATGCAATGACATAAACCCTGCAGAATCTTTCATAGGTCAGAATGCCTGGAAATGTACTGGAGAGACAAGTGACTCATCAGTGCTCAATATTCCTCCCTCACATCAAAGATAAAACAGCTCAAATATTGATGGGATATACCACGGTTTACACATGAGAAAGATAAGAGGTTGCAGTCAGTTGATCTTAGCTGCCAGGTGGCCACCACATCTACCCTTCACTGCCCTTCCTCACCTTGATGGAGGGGAAGAAAATAGGATGAAAGACTTGTGGATCAAGGTATAGACCGGGAAAGATCACTCACCCATTACCGTCACAGATAAATAGACTCAGCTTGGGGAGATTAATTTAATTTATTCCCGATCAGATGATAGCAGAAAATAAGAAATAAGAACAAACTAAAGACACCTTCCCCTCACCTCTCTGTAATTATTTGGCTCAACTTCACTCTGATTTTTTTCTACTTCTTTCTCTTCAGCAGTACAGAGGACAGGGAATGGGTCTGCAGTCAGTTCAACACACATTGTTTTGCCACTTCTCCTCCTCACACTCTTCTCCTACTCCATTGTGGGGGTCCCTCCCATGGGAGACAGTCCTTCATTAACTTCTCTAACATTAATCATTCCCACAGGCTGCAGGTCTTGAACTGCCCTAGAGTGGTTCCCTCCCATTGGGTGCAGTACTTCAGGAATCACTGGGCTCTCCATGGAGACACAAGTCCTGCCAGCCAACCTGGACTCCTCTGTCCATGGGTCCATAGGTTCAGCCAGAGCCTGCTCCATTGTGGGCTTCCCATGGGGGTTCCAGCCTCTTTGGGGCATCCATATGCTCCAGTGTGGGATCCTCCACAGGAGGCAGGTGAATGTCTGTCTGATCCACAACGGATCTTCATGGGATACAGGGTCACATCTGTCTCACCGTGGTCTTCACCACAAGTTGCAGGGAAATCTCTTCTCCAGTGCCTGGAGCACCTCCTGCCCCTTCTTCTTCACTGGCCTTGGTGTCTGCAGAGCTTTTTCTCTCTTCTCTCTTGGGCTGCTGTTGCTATTGCTTAGTTTTACCTCCTTTTTTGAATACATTATCCCAGAGGTACTGCCACTGTGTCTGACGGGCTTAGCCTTGGCCCAAGTCTATCTCAGAGCCACCTGGCACTGGCTCCATCAGACACAGGGGAAGCATCTCACTGAGGCCAACCCCTGCAGTGCTCCCACTACCAAACCCCATATAAACTCACTTACAGAGGCCAAAAGCTAAGTGGTCTTGAATGAACTCTTTTAATCCAAAAAACAATGCAGAATTTTTCAGATAAATCTTTTCCCATACATTAAAATCACTTTAGAACAGGCCTGGTATGATCGTGCAGGCAGAGAGATTGATCTATCAGTGCATCAGGGATAGAGATAGCACCTTCAAAATATCTGAACTGTTCTCTTGTCATACGTTCCATTCATTAACCAGAAGGCAGACTGTATTTACTGCCATAGGAGCTATAATTTTCATTTTCAAGATTTGTGTAGGCATTTTATCTGTTGCAACCTGATGGTTGTTCTGCGGCTTGTGGCTACCCTTCCTAGTTCCAAATGTTCTTGATTGAGTTGAATTGCAGATGTGGCTAAATATATTGCTTCCTCTTTCCTTGAGTAATCTCTTTCAACACTCCACTATGGTCTTGATATTGCTGCAGAGACCAATGCACTGTATTCAGAGCCAAGCAGGCATCTTCTTTGTAGAGAAATATTTTGAGATTCCTCAGGAATTACTTATGACTGCAGTTTTTCACTCCTGTGCTCAAAGAAAAAGAGATTTTGGAAAATGTTTTTATAAAATGATATTTTTTTAATAATGAGATATTAAACATGACAAAAAATATTTTTTTAATGCCAGAAATATTTCTTGCATTTTTACACCTACGACAAAAGAAAATCTTTCTAAGAAAATTTTGTATTTATCAAAGTTCCAAATTGCTCTTTCTGTCATCAGGATAATTTTCTATGTCTATGTATTTACATAGACCATGTAAGAATAATGTTTCTATTACACAAACAAGTTGACAAATTGCTTTGTAAACCACTAAAAGAGCTGCAAGAACCACCACTCCAAAATCACTCAGCTTCCACGAAAGGAGTGTTTCAATTTTCTCTCTTGCTGAAAAATGTTTTCTACCTACCACGAAGACTACCGATATCTTTAATGCAATTTAGTAAAATTCTTATTGCTTAGAGTAAAAACTAGTTAAATGGCATGTTTAAGTTGGTAACTTTGGGTTTTACATCATGTGATCTTACAAAGAGGGATTCTTGAGTATTATCAACATTATATTAATTCTTCCTTTTATTTGAACAGAAAATCTGACCTTGTCAGTGTACTTATTTGAGTAGAAGAGACTTTTATGAACCATTCTTTTAAAAAACAGGAATTGATTTCTACTTAGGCTACTGTGCCCTCTCAGCAGTAAGCAAGAGATTACATTACAAGTCCATTTCATCACACAGTTGTGAAGCTTACCATACAGTAATAATTTCACGTATTCCACAATTGCAATAATACTTGGCTACAGAAAATCCTTCAGTTTAGAGCCAACATAAATACCCAAAGTACATAGTTGTCGTCCATAAAATGGATGGGCTCTAGCACGCACTGTAGCTATACGGGTTCTGCTGTACAATGCAATTCCCTGTCCTTGGAAACTACCTGAAATGTTTTCTATCAAAGCTGTTAGGGACGGGCACTTCCAGAATCTCAAGTGCAGATGCAACTATTACTACAAAATATGCTTTTGGGTGGGCGTTTCATTGCTACTAAGACATCACAAAGCCAACAGTGCTTGTATGCAACCAGTTTCTTGTCTTACTTCACACAAACGGAATCACAGAAACACTATTAAAACTTTTGCCAGAATGAAATAAGGACTCCAACCAACAACAAAGAGATGTTGCTATTTGGCTTGCTGACACTAAAATTTGAATGATATTATCAACAGAAAACTACTAAAAAAGCTTGTCCAGCATAGCTATGTTAAATATAATAATTAATACCAATTTCAGGACACCTAAACACAGTTCTGATGCTACCGTTCTTTGAAGTACACTATTGAATTACCTCCCCCTTTCACCTCAATTGCCAAAAGAAATTACATTAACTGAGTTAACTGGTTAACTGAGACTCTATAGCCTTGTATTTAGACAGAAATCACTTTTCCACAGCAGGTGTTTGGAATTGATTAAACCTTAAACCAGGCTTCCCAGATGAAGCTTGGCTTCTCACGAACATTTTATACTAAAGCTATTTTATCTGAGGAGTTCAAGGATTCAAATCCAGATTGGTATAATTTCAGCTCAGCCTGCAGCATGCTGCAGGAGTCAGAGACTAGGTGCTGGAATGTTTGTACAAACACTTACAGGAATATTTATATTCCTGTTCATAACATCAGCATGCAAAAGACAATTTAGGCAGCATCAGGTGAGATCACTTTGCAAGGGTTCAGGTTATTCAAACCTTTTACACCCAGCAATTATTAATCTACCTCACACATGTGCCAGTAAATGTATATATGCAGTTCCACAGGATTTTATCCCATTGCCAGCTCAGTTCTGCACTTATTATATATGGATCAGCCTAGGCAGGTCACCTTTTCTGCCAGATTTGGATTCTATAGTTTCCCTGTTCTCTCAACACCAGCCTGAATTGAGACCACTCTGATAGAATAATATAGGGGCTCAGGGAAATGATACTGCTGGGCAGAAAAAGCAGAAAACTCCTGGAAATTTGCAAACCTACTCTTCGCTGGATTACTAGTTCAAGATTTTATTAACTATCACTGCTTGGAGAACGCCCAGGGACAGCAATGACTCAAAGTACTCCCTGCCTTAAAAGTTCTGGCACTTGACCCACTTCTCACAAAGAAATAGGACATCAATTGAATTCCTAACCTTGTATTTCAGCTCACTAGTGACAGGACTCTTGTGGCCCTTCTGTCATGGTTTGACACTGGCCAGGCACCCATGAGAGCTGGTTGCTCACTCTCCCTTGCCACAGGTGGGCAGAGGAAAATTTAATGAAGGTTCAGGAGTTGAGATAAGGGCCAGGAGAAATCACTCCAAGGACAAAACAGGCTCAGCTTAGAGGTACAAAGTGAATTTATTGCTAACAAAATCAGAGAAGAATAACGAGAAGTAAAATAAGAACACCTTTTCTGAAGAAGATATTTTTTTTCTTAAAAAAGTCAAGAACACCTTTTCCCCCCAAGCCCTCCCTCCTTCCCACCAACAGCACAGGGAGACAGGGTGTGGGGATTTTGGTCAGTTCCTTGCCCGTGGTTTTCTTCTGCTGCTCAAGCAGAGGAGTCCTCCCCTGTAAGACCACGGACCACAAGACACAGATCTCCATGAACTTCCCAGCATGGTTCCAATCTCATGAGCAGCACTCCTCCCAAAACTGCTGTGGCCTGGGTCACTCTTCCACACGGTGCAGTCCTCCAAGGACAGGCTGCTCCAGCCTGGAAGCAGGGCCCCCTCTCTCTCCTGGGTCTCCCACAGGATCACAGCCCCCTGCAGGTATCCACCTGCTCTGGCATGGGCACCTCCCACGTGGGCTGTGGGTGGATCTCTGCATCCCCCGTGGATCTCCACGGGCTGTGGGTGGATCTCTGCATCCCCCATGGATCCCCACGGGCTGTGGGTGGATCTCTGCATCCCCCGTGGATCCCCATGGGCAGCAGGGCACAGCTGCTTCACCATGGTCTCACCATGGCCTGCAGAGAATCTCAGCTCCAGTGCCTGGAGCAGCTCCTCCCCTCCTTCTGCACTGACCTTGGTGTCTCCATGGTGTTTCCCTCACACATTCTCACCTCCTCCTCTTCTCTGACTGGGAAAAACTGTGCTTACTTTGTTGTGATTTTCTTCCTAAATATGCTATCACAGAGGTGTTACCAACATCTGTGATTGGCCCAGGCTTGGCCAGCAGCATGTCCATCCTCAGAGCCATCAGGGATTGGCTCTGCCAGACATGGTGGAAGCTTCCAGCATCTTCTCACAGAAGCCACTTCTGTGGCCCCCCCGCTTCAAAAAAAAAAACAAGCTGTGCAAAACCAACACACCCTCAAAAGGCTTCGGCTCTATAAACATAAAAAGTCAGATTGTGGCTATTTCCAACAACCCTCTTGGTAAGGTACCCAGGCCTCTCAGGCATGCAGTTTCCATGATAGTGTCAGGATTCCCATGTGCTGAAGTGTCATGGCCTCAGCAGCAGCATGGCAGCAGTTCCCTTCTCTCCAGAAAGCTTTGGGTTTTTTTCAAAGACACTTCCCAGTAGTTCTTTCAGTTGCTGCAAACTTGTCATTTTTTTTAAGGCATGTGAATCAACAGCTCAGGTGGATTGGGTGCTACTTAACCCAGTTCTTTTTAGTGATGAACAGTCCAGTACACCCCACTGCAAACAGCAGGCAATCTAGGTCTTTTAAAATGTGATTTTAATTTTTTGCTAGTTTATTCAGGAAAAATCAGTGATGTATTTCCTTTAACCAATTTTAAACAATTTCCTAACATCTGAAAAGACTAGTCTGTATTTTTATGAGTTAAGAGTTATGGATGTCCTCCAAAACAGAAACTACTACGAAGGCTACTCAATGCTTATTGTAAAAAGTTGTTTAAAAGTTATTAAAAAATTGTTACATCCTTGCAAATCTCTTTCTGTAGGGGTACAATTTTAGCAAAGTATGACAGCTATTGAGAGCAGATAGTATGGCTTTTCTGTGCCTGAAAAGAGGCCTATCAGAAACTTGATTGTTGCCAAGTGATTTCAGACTAGTTTTCAGCCAGCTCCTAAATGTCACATTTACCTAGTTCTTGCTTTAATCATACCAGTTTGCCCCTCTGCAGTCTGAGAACAGCCAGAAGACCTCAGCCTCTACACTAGTGTACTTGAAATACCAAGGACTCTCGTCCTTTGTCTGATGAAAAATACTCAATCTGTGTTAAATTTTCTTAAGCCTGGAGATATACATTGCTACATCTACACTGGTTTTTCTTTCACACATTAAAAAGACAAAACTGGCCTGGGGATTACATTCCTCTCCAAAAATTTTATTTAACAGAATAACAAAACCACAGAATAGTCAGGGTTGGAAGGGACTTCCGGAGATTATCTAGGCCAGCCCCGCTGCCAAGGCAGGGTCACTTGGAGCAGGTGACAAACAACACATCTAGGTGAATTTCAAATGTCTCCACAGTGGGAGATTCCACCACCACCCTGAATACTTAACAGAAAGATACTGTATTTTCTCCACCAATGTATTCTTTGCTAGCTTGCTTGGCCACTTCTGGGTGGGGTATAATCAAATCTTTTTCACATCATTTCACAGGTGCTTTCATCTGATGCCTACATTTACAGTAATAGGAAAGAATACTGCAATCCAAGATGTACTGAATATGTCACCCTTAACCTTAAGAACAGAGATATGGTACATCTTTGGGATGCTGAGCCATAATTCCCTCCTTTTTTCTAACAGCTAGGACTTTCAGACATAACCTCCATTCTGCACGCACGAGGTTGCTTGGTTAATGTCCAGAGAATGTTTGGACTGCCAGAGGCCGTCCTCAAATGCTTCAGCCTCCGAGGACAGGATGCTAGTCAATACAGTAACTTTAGAAAAAGGTTGTGACTCACTCTGACTTTCCTGGCATATTCTAATGAAATTTTTTATTTCCTTGATGCTTCCTCTAATTTGGAGCAGGACAGCAATATCACTGATGGGCTGTATTTGGTCCAGCTGAGACAAAGTTAATTTTCCTTACAGCAGCCCTCACAGTGCTGTGCTTTGCACTGGCAGCTACAGAGGTGTTGATAACACACCAGTGTTTGGCTTCTGCTGTACAGCACTGGCACAGCACCAGCACTGTCTTCCCGACATTCTGCCCCCCATCAATAGGCTGGGGGTGACAAGATCTTAGAAAGGGACACAAATCAACCAGCTGACCCAAACAGACCAAAGGCGTATTTAGGACCATTTGATATATTAATATCATAAAACATAAAAGATGTAAAAGCTAGCACAAGGAGGAAAAGGGAGGATGCATTTGCTATTTATGTTTGCCTTATAGAGCAATGGCTACTTGTGCTGAAGCCCTGCTTCCCAGGAAATGGCCGCTCATCAGTTCCTGCTGGTAAGTAGAAAATGAAATCTGTCTTTTTCCTTAGCTTGCATACAACCTTCCGCTTTTGCTTCAGTAAACTACCTTATCTCAACCTACTGGTTGATTTTACTTTTTCTCCTTTTTTCAGGGGAGAGAAAAGCTGAAAACGGGGAATGATAAAGGGGCATCCGGCCAAGGTCAACCCACTACATGGGCCAATTCACACTGTCCATCTTTTTGATGCAAATACTTTGGGTTTGTTTTGTTAACAAGTATTTTTGTTCATTTGTACATGAAGAGAAATGGGATATCTCAAAAGGCACCAGGAAAGAGCTTTCCTTGAGCTCAGCATCACAGTGGATTGATCTTTCCTGTCACAAGCTTGTGAGAGCTGTCTGTCCAACCTCACTGAAACCCACGTGTTTTGCAATAAAATTGGCAACCTGGGGAAGCACTGCAGACAGTGAAAATTCCCAAGGACTGGCCCATGTGAGCACAAATGGCCAAGTTCAGTGCAGTTTCCTTTAGTTACAAAGCTCGCAGCTGCCTCAACACAGCTATTTCGGAACATGCCCTTGTCGCCAGGACTCATCACAGAAGCTGCACTCGGTTGCAGACTAACCAGGAGTGCAGACTTCTGCTGCACGCCAGGCGCTCCGGACAACTAATCTTTAAAGTATTTTTCTTCAGTCTACAGTCAGAACTAACACACACAACAGCCACGGAACCACTCCCGCCCCGCGCCGCCTCCCGCTCGCCGCCCCCTAGCGGCCTCTCCGCACTGCGCAGCGCGGGGGCGCCCGCACGGCCGCGTAGGGGTTCCGAGGGAGGGGCGGGGCGCCGCCCTGCCACGCCCACCAAGGGAGAGCGAGCGTGGCGGCTCCGCGGCGCGGCTGGGGCGCGAGGCTCCGCCCGCCTCCCTCCGCCAATGGGGAAGCGCGCCGCGGGGGGCGGGGCTGCCGCAAACAGCGCGGGGGGCGGGGCCGGCCCGGAGTTGCCGCAGCGCCGCCGCTTGTAAACAGATCCCGCCCCACGTGACGCGCGCGCGGTGGTTGTGCGGGGGCGCCGCGCATTGTCCGCGTTGGTGACCGGCGGGACCCGCGCGGGGAGCGGGAGGAGGCGATTCCCGTCCGCCCTTCCTCCCTCATCGCTCCGGTGGGGAAGCAGCGCACCCTCCCCCTCGTACCCCGGCCGCTAAGATGGCTGGTGGTGGGCGGTAAGGCGGTGCGGGGCTGCGGAGCAGCTGACGGGACGGGAGCGCGGAGGGCGGGCGGCGTGTGCCCGTGTGCGGAGTCGCGCAGCGCCATGTCCGCCTTCGCCCTGGAGGAGACGCTGGAGGCCGACTGGGTGGCCGTCAGGCCGCACGCCTTCCAGGAGCGGGAGAAGCACAAGTTCGCCTTCATCGTGGCCTGGAACGAGATCGAGGGCAAGTTCGCCATCACCTGCCACAACCGCACGGCACAACGCCAGCGCAGCGGCTCCCGTGAGCTGCGCCGCGGCGGCCCCGAGGTCGGAGCCGTCCCTAAGGCTGGCGGCCCCGCGGTGCGCAAGGACCAGGGGCCGCCCCGGGGCTGCGCCCATCCCCGGGCCGAGGCTCTGCCTAAGAGCCCGCTGCGTGCCAAGGGCAGCCCGGCCCGGAGGCCGCAGCGCGGCCCGGAGGCGGCAGGTGCCGCCGAGGAGATCGAAGTGCTGGAGCTGGGGAAGGAGGACGTGGCCGCCGCGCTGTCGCTGCCGCCCTCGCCACCGCGGGCGAGCGAGTTGGGCGCTCCCGACGCGGAGCCGGCGGGGGAGGAGTGCAGCTGGGCCGGCCTCTTCTCGTTCCAAGACTTGCGGGCCGTGCACCAGCAGCTGTGCTCGGTGAACTCGGAGCTGGAGCCCTACCTGCCTGCCTTCCCCGAGGAGCCCTCGGGCATGTGGACGGTGCTCTTTGGAGCGCCAGAACTATCCGAGCAGGAGATGGACGCTCTCTGCTACAAGCTGCAAGTTTACTTGGTTCACAGCTTGGATACCTGTGGCTGGAAGATCCTTTCGCAGGTGCTCTTCACCGAGACCGACGACCCCGAAGAGTATTACGAGAGCCTGAGTGAGCTGCGACAAAAGGGGTACGAGGAGGTGCTCCAGAGGGCCCGCAGGCGCATTCAAGAGGTGAGGCTGCTGCGTGGTCCAGATGCCGACACTTTTTTTAGTCGTTCTTGTTCTTGCTTTCTTGTTCCTTAGTGAGAAAAATGAAGCTTAACCTTTCCGAGGTCTCTAGGGCCAGGATTTAAGGAGGCGCAGATTTCCCTAATCATCTGAGTGTGGCTCAGTACTTTTATCTGTGCAATCAAATGTAGGTACTTGTGAATAAATATCCGATGGATCTGGCAAGGTCTTGCTCCCATATTTTTTGTTCTTGCATTGCCTTGCACCAGGATGTGTTTGGCTCTGATGTTTTTTCTGTTAAATTAGAGCGGCAACATGTGTTTATTTTGATACTACAGTTCAAGCGTTTGAGACCAAAAAATTCCAGGTTCACACAGGCTCTGGGTGCTGAATCTGGTATTTATATGGCGAGGTTATGTTTTCCAGTGGAGTTGGAGTGAGCACAACTTCTGTTCAGCTGAGAAGTTCCTAGAGTTGGAATTAACAAGAAGAGCAAGCTGTCTGGTCCTAGTGAGTATTTGCTGTGTTGCAGTAGGTATTATTTATCAAGACTTGGATGTTTCAGGACCCTTCATGTTTCTATTACACCATATACTGTTCTAGACAGGGTAGTTGAGAATGGCGCTCTAAATGGCTTGTAGCATCAGTGTATGAGAATTTTTACACTTCCTCTGTTTTCATGCACTGAGCTGTATGAGGACCCAGATTTCCCCGGTAATAAATGAGAATTTGACACTTGTTTTTGTGCTTCAGTGGCCTTGGTCCAGAATGCACCCGGATCTATCAGGTTACACTGTTCTTTATTTTTGCAAACATCGTCTTAATTTTGTTGTGGATATAGGTCAAGTTTGGCAGCTTCAGCTACCCACGTATGTCCTGCCAACATTCTTTTAAAAAGTGTGTGGTAGTGATTGTTTCTTCCTTGATGGAGTGTGAGCATATCTTCTTGCTCTTTGATGGAATAATTTTGAGTCTGTAGAATTCAGGCCAAGCTTTTTCTTGGTGACTAGAGTTACAGAGTATGAGAAAATTGTAGTATCAGTGATATAATCACGGTAAGAACATCCAAGTATAGCATTGTAAAGTTTATTTCCAAACTGTTGTGTTAGCGTATATAATTCTGATTTTTCTTTTTTTCCCCATGTCTATTTAAAGGACTGGATTAAATCTTGTTATTTGGTATACAATTGGTAATTAGTCTGATAAGATTCAGCAGTGGTTTTAGTCCACAGAATATGAAAACATATCGTCTTTCACTGTTTTCTTTTTTTTGACTGCATGAATGCTTGGGAGTGTATGCTAAGATTAGATTTAGCCTTCAGTTCAGCAGTTTTTAAAATAAGCTGTGCAGGATTAGAGAAGGTGCTGTTAAACATGGAATTTGGGACCTGCATACTTTCTCGAGGGATGTGATGTTTTTGAGGAAATACTAAGTTAAGAATTACTGAGCAAGAATTATTTGTTTCTTGGAGAATCTCAATTTCGGTTTTATTACCAGTACTACTGGCAAAAATAAATTGGTTCTCTAAGCCACATAATTTTATTCTGTGTTAGTGTTCTGAGCTTGGTGCAGACAAAATGGCAGAGCCTGTGTCTGTGTTTGACTACTGCACAACCTGCTTTCCCATGATAACCATTCTAGTAGTGTACCTGAAGTCTATACAGCTGTACTTCTGTCAGTTGTGTAAGTTGATCCTCCTTTAATTAAAGGTAATTCATGTTTAAGAAAAGAAACCAATGGAATGACCTGCTCTTTCCCTCTTGGCACTCAAGTTTCTGTTTTCCTTACCTGTGAGGGATTTGCTTGGTCTACAGGAAATGTCTTTTCTCTAAGCAAATACTGATACTCTTTGTCATTGCAATTCTAAGCAAATGAAGCAGTGGATGATGGGCACTGCTTGGTATTTCTGAAGTAAAGGTTTTTGTACTTTAAAGAAAACCTACTGAATCCATGTTTTATCTCACAACTTACTTTTCCATTTGTGCTGGAATTCTGTCGGCTGATAGCAGGAATGTTGGATCCAAGCTATTTTAAAACATTTTGTCTCTTATAATAATTTTTTGGGAAAAGAGGAAGTGATTGAGAAGCATTCTCAATCACTCATTGAGAACCAGAATGGTATCTAGGAGGAAATGTCAAGGGTCTTCATTAATGTAAAATTGTGCAACTCTGAAGATCTTGACTTAGCATCTTAAAATGTGCCTCTGTGGTTTACAGTTATTTAATATATCTCTTCTATTTCCTAGGACAAATTCCTCTGTGCAGTTAGAATGTTACTTGTGAAATGCTTGCAGTTTCTCTTGATTTGTGTTCTTTGGGGTGGAGAAGCAAAGTGAGCAACCAAGCCTCGTGTTTATTGTTTTAGCATCCTCTTCTTGGGTACTCCTTGCTTTCCATAAATTACACACAAGCCAGTTTATTTTCATGACAGATAGTAATTGTTGCTCTTTGTAATAATAATTTTTATCTCAGTCCAAATTTTAGGCCTTTAATAAATGATAAGAATGTTGCAAGTAGAAACAGATTCAAGATGAGTAAGTGAAATAGTTGTAGAGAAACTGTGTGACGTTTCTTCTGCTTGATTTGCAGTTTTGAAACAACACTTTTTTTTTTTTTTCCAAATAGAACTATTAATTTTGAAATAATTGAAGTATTTATTTAAAGTAAAAACTTGTTCATTAAGTTTATACCTGTTAAAAAAAATCTTGCGGTACTCAGTTAAAAGATAAAAAGATGTTATTTCAACAGAGAGTATAGCATTGAATCCTTATTTGGGATTCCAGTTTCCTGGACAGTATTTCCAAAATACTGAACTTTGTGTCAAGAAAGTGTGTGCCCCTGTACTCTTGGTCCTGCCAGTTTCCTGTTTATGTTCTTCTTACATGCAGATGAGTTTTTCTAGGCTAAGTATAGATGTTTGTAAATTTCTGTGTAGTAATATCAGTAATGGTGCTGTATCTCTTTGTCCATTCTGTTTTCGAAAGGCTGAAGGTAGTCATGTTTTCCTGAATACAAAACGGTGTTAGTGCAAACTGTGATCAAGAGGGATGGGTGGCATAGTCATGCCCCAGACACATTTCATTGTGTGCTCTTGCATAACCAGTTGAGAGTTTGAGAAGCCTATCTGTATTGTTACATGTCTGCTTGAGCATCTTTGAATTATCAGCTCCTGGGAATGCTTCTGTTCCATACAGCTCTTAGTAGACTGAAATTTGGTCTACAGCCCTGATAGACTGAAATCTCGTGGACAATAGTCTATAGGATTTTGAGTGCCAGGTATGAAACTAGTCAGAAGCTTGCTTTGGTTTTCTTTTTG